TTATTGTTGTGTGTATATATATATATATATATATATATATATATATACATACGTGTATTTCATTCAAGTATAATTTAATATCAGTATACGTTTTCAAAAGCAAGAGAGAGAGATCTTTTTTTATGTCTTATCGGTATATATATCCATATTCATTTACTTATTTTTTAAAGAAAAAACATCCATGTAGTGCTAAGCTAAACCTAATGGAAAATTAAATATTACTAGGAAGTAATGTCACAGACGCATTTACAGAACTTGATGGACAGACAGACTTGTGTCAGAAAGTTTGCAGAACTGTGGCAGGTAAACTCCAGGATTGTGTGATCGTTGTTTGTTTTGTTTGTAATTAAGCACAAAGCTACACAATGGGCTATCTGTGCTCTGCCCACCACGGGTATCGAAACCATGATTCTAGCGTTGTAAGTCCGCAGACATACCGCTGTGCCACTGGGGGGCTTGTGTGAACAGCGACGAGTTTCAATTTAAACACCTGCGGGATTAACCTTCCCATAATTCCATGTCATGGGTAAAGTGCTGTTAAATAAATTATCAATTATTAACTGTATAGTTTAATTTAATTTAATTACATTATCAATTATCAACTGTATACCTGCTTTTGGGCCACCTTGTATATTCGTATCAACATATATTGTGATGTTATATTTCAATGCAACCGAAAACTGATAAAATTTCAAAGAATAATAGTACATAGTTATTTCAGTGCATAACCTCGTACAAAATTAGTGTTATAAATACTTCAAAGTATAATCCAAGATATCCTAACGAACTGGGAAAATAATCCAATAGAATATTAGCGTAGTTAAGGAACTCAGTGATATATTGTCAGCATGCTATACTTTAAAGAAGTGATCAGTTCTAAACGACATCAATATTATTTATTATAATAATACTCAGTTTCTGTCTGTCCGGAAAATGCGTGTGCACCTTACTATTTAAATGCGTATTCGAGAGCACTTCATTTCAACGGATGTAAACAAAAGGCACATGTAAATGTTCTTTAGTATACATTTTGTACAACAATATATTAAAAACTTATCAAAGTTTTTAAAAAGGTCTAACGTTAAGTCGTAGAATAGCATTATAAGTTTATTTATTGATAGTATCAAGTAGCGTAAAGCTTAGCCTTAACTAAACTAAAGCAAAAAACGTACGAACGAATTTAACTTTTCTGAAATGATATCCTTGGCTACTAATGACGTACTTACTTGGGCTCAGTTATAGAGAAGAGTAATGTTGGCATCTGATTGAATAAAGGTGTAAGAATCCCCACGGTAACCATCGAACCAAAAATTCCTAGGGCAAGCAGCAGTTTCCCAACAATCGATTTTCTGAGTGCAAGTATAAAAAAAAATCACAATTTATTCATTGAGGCTTTAAAACGTAAAAAAAAGCAAAAAATCCACTCAATATTTCGTACTTAAACTGATTACTGTCAACAGTCACAAAAACATCCATAAAGATACGTACAATATTTAACGTGTTTATGTAAAATCAGGAGTGTTTTTTATTTATAATATAACGTTTCCGTTCTAAAAATAAAATGATCACGTACATTTGTAATATTTAACATCCCACAGATAAGTGATATTAAAAAAAAAGATAAAATTTACAGTAAAATAACTCAGGTTTGAACTTCGAAAATTTGTGTACGAGTCTTCGAAGGAAATTCTTGATAAAATTATCATTATACATTTACAACACTCAAGCTTTCTAGCCATTTTTTTTATCTCTTTCTATCACTGATCACAGGTGGCAGCACACCAGAAGTTGATGGGAAATCCGTTATTACTAGGGCGTAGAATAGAACCTTAGGTTAAAAAAAAACAGACACATTTCCCTGATAATTCTAAACTGAAAATATTTATTATCAAATGTAATTAATGAATAAACTTCTCTCAACCAGAGAAATCGTCGATACTTAAGGAGAAGATTGTGGTATAAGCATCGAATGGCTGTTGCGTCAATGGAGAAATTGGAACGAGAGTGGAATCATTTACAGTCACAATACAGTGTTTTCTTGTTGGATATTCGTTATAATACAATTTTATGTTGCATAGACAGTCTTAACAGGAACAAACGAGATGTAGTATCACTTCTTTAAAGGTGTGAATGAACGGCAACAGGTATCCGTTCCAAGCATGATCTTTGAATGAATGAATTAATGAACTTGGTATTAATTTAAGTTTTATATCTTGAGAAACAACCCGGGGCGCTCAGAAACTGTCGTTTCTCTTCAGCCCTACACGCGGATTTAAGATTTATACCTACTGGAGTGTGATTAGACTTGTAGGCATCATGGTGGGTATGACAACTTCCCATAGTTGTGCTTATTTAGGTGAGTGACTAGGATTTTGCATCCAGAGAAAGCCACGAAGATCAAAATGTTCTAAGTGCTGCTGTAGTGCGGATGGAAAATTAAATGTTATTTTTCTTTAAGCCGGATGTCCCACGATCTTATTTTATATGCAGCAGTTTCTTTTCATCCAGCCTCAAAGAAAATGTCATTGGAGCTGAGATCAGCATGAAAGCAAAACAGGACAAATAAATCAGTTTCCTCCCTAACTAGAACAGTCACGTGATTAATGGTATTCGTTACAGCAGTTTGCCTTTCGTCAAATCTGCATCACCAGTTCAGCAGACCTTTTCTTTCATATTCGATAATGAGGAACCCACTTTGAGACTAATAATGGTTGGAGACGGCTTGAATGGGTAACGAAGAAAAACTTTAATATAAGTTTAACATAACAGCAAATGTACAACGTTTCGACAAGGAGAATGACAAAACCTTGTCGAAACGTTCTACATTTGCTGTTATGTTAAATTTATATTAAAGTTTTTCTTCATTACCCATTCAAGCCGTCTCCAGCCATTATTTTCTTCCAAATGTTTGGTCAGCGTATTAATGAAGCATTCTTTATTCTCAGCATTGACCAAAATGTGGATTTAAAGGGTATTCCTTCAGTGAAGCCAATCTTTGGTCCTCATCTACGCTGTATATGAGCTGTGTCCTTCGTGGATGGGCCCACCGATTATCCATAAAGGACAGTGATGGGATTTTAATGCTTTCTTGTGGCATGATCCACATGAATTGTACAAAACTGGACTCCTTATGAGCAGGGTATACGCTACAAGAGAATATTTCCATACAGAACTTATACTGCGTCACCTATAATAAATAAACTTAGTAATCCGAAAATTGTTTAACACCGAAGTCTAAGTTCAAGGGAGGTCCAGTTCAATCTACACCATGATCAACATGTGTTATTGGGTTACACTGGTTTCGGAGAATTCCAATCCTTATCAATAACCCTGAACACAAGTTCACTAAAGAGAGATATGCTGAACCTATATCATAATGAAAAGTATCAAACATACTGTCGGTGTGAAAAAGTGTCATTGGCCACTATTCAGTTCTTCACATTATATAGCCGTATAATAGCAGACATAATACATAATTTAGTATTCCGAAGGTTGTTTAATTTCGAAGACTAAGTTCAAGGGAAGTCCAATGGTGTTACAAGCACCTTGAAGAGTAAGCTAAGGTTAGTATACGAGACAGAACATTTATGGGCGATAGGTCTAAAGTTTGAGCTGTTCCTCCGCTTGAGTTTTATTAAACTTTTAGTATATTGTTAAACAATTATTGTTATATGTGTTACATCAAAAAGGAATTATTTTTGCATTAAATGTAAAAACAAATAATAGATTGGCTGAGCTACGAAACCAACAAACATGCTAAAAAACATGAGCAAAATCTTTACACCCGAAGTCAAGACCAATAATGTTACGACAAGGCTCAATAGAAACTAATTAACAAATCTGTGCATTCAAACTTCTCAAATCACTTCAGGCAAAAAAGGAACAACAACAAAAAAAAAAGATTTGGTCTTCAAGAACCGCCGGGTACAAATTATCTTATATCTTTACATAATTTTAAATATATATATATATCTTTTTGGGATAGGAATCGTCTTCGTTCATTGTTTTACGAGAAACGAGTCGGGTAATTTATATTATCTTCGCACTATTTTATTAAACATAACGATATATTCATTTATTAATTATCAAATCTAATTGAATATGAAGTCTAAACAGAAAAAGGTAAAAAGTCTGTCCACAAGCTTAGCCACCCTGTGGCAGAGGGGTATGTCTGTAGACTTACAACGCTAGAATCCGGGTTTCGATACCCGTGGAGGGCAGAGCACAGATAGCCCATTGTGTAGCTTTGTGCTTGCCCCCCAGTGGCACAACGGTATGTCTGCGGACTTACAACGCTAGAATCCGGGTTTCGATACCCGTGGTGGGCAGAGCACAGATAGCCCATTGTGTAGCTTTGTGCTTAATTACAAACAAACAAACCACAAGCTTAAAAAACGGCTGGAAATTTAATATATATTTTTCTTTTTGGGCCTAAAGTCAGTGAGCACAACAAATGCTATAGAGCAGTTTCTATACTGCTTTCCAGTAGGAATGGTTGTTATCAGTCTTATTGTGACGTAATATAACACGATCTACTGATTCATAGAACTAAATAATGTTTTAGCCCGACTTACCTGTATAACGTCATTATAAAAACGGGCGATAAAAGAAAGAATTGCATTTCACAGGCCAGGTAGAATCCGTGTGGTACGCACTGTAAAAAGGAAACCAAATATATTGCTCAGTTAAAATGATACTCTTATTTAGCGTTAGTGAAAAAACTAGTTGTCTGTTGAAATACAAAAGCCATTTTTCTTGAAACAACAGTATCAGTATGTCTGTAATACGTGCATTGAAAAACACAAAGTACTAATTTCTTATATTTAGAACAAAACTAGTAAGATTCGATCCCGGGTCGCTAGCTCCAAAATCCATAGCTCTATCTATGACAGAGCTGTACTCTAAAAATAGAAAGAAAGAAAAAGTGTTTATAATTCTGATGTATCTGAAACAAATTTAACAAAATTAATTAGTTGTTGTTTTTATTTTCAATATCTTTAATATTGGTCTAAATCAAGCTAGTAATTGTTACTCTCAATATCTTTATTATTGGTCTAAATCAGGCTAGTAATTGTTACTTTCAATATCTTTAATATCGGTCTAAATCAGACTAGTACTTGTTACTTTCAGTAACTTTAATATTGGTCTAAATCAGGTCGATACTTGTTACTTTCAATATCTCTAATAATGGTCTAAATCAGGCTATTACTCTCAATATCTTTAATATTGGTCTAAATCAGGCTAGTAATTGTTACTGTCAACATCTTTAATATTGGTCTAAATCAGACTGGTATTTCTGTTAATATTTAAAATCTTCACTCCAGTTAGGAAACTGTTTTTAAGGGTATCAACAGTTTTCACTGCTGTCAGGTTGTTCCTTATGTCAATATAGTTCACGATCAGGGGATTCAGGACTGATTGGAGGTTGTGTTTTCTGTACTGTTGTTACTTTCAATGTTAGTGGGAGTACTTTACTCTTACCATTTATGATATTAATCGGTTTCCGTACACTATAATTTTCGGTAAATAATGTCTTGTTTTGCCTATCTATCTATATATAATTCAGAAAATTACTACTTTAGGTAAATCAAAACCTTCGAATATCCGAGTATTTTTGATTTGTCAACTATGTGTTCATATATCCTCGTCATTGAAAGTTTTTCTAATTTGTCAAGTTAGTTAAGGTTATAAATAAGTGGGTTCTTTTACCACTGTTTTTGTGGGTTACCAAATTAATTAACCTTGTCATGTGTTACGGTTTAGTAAACTACAATTCTAAACGGAACTTACAATTTACTTCTTACTCAGCAAGTTATTGATTTTACACGTAAATGTTTACACTTACGATGTTCTCAGGCTTTAAGAAGTTGCTGATGTACAGTAGGTTAGTCCACCAGTTTTTGCGGCATACTTTTGCTAAGGTGTCCAGTTTATCGTGCCAGATAGGTCCACTTCCAAAGTTTGGCGCAATAATGATTAGTGCTGATATCAAAACGAAGGCTGGTGTTAACCTATATGAGTATTATAATAAGCTACTCAAAATCTGTCACCTGCTTTCTGTTTAATTACAGCTGTAAAAACAATCAAGATATACTCGTAAGTGATGACTAATGAAATTCAGTTGGAAGTTTCTATTTCATGAAAGCCTACTCAGAACAGACTTAAATCGTTTTTTTTTTCTTTTTCAAAAAAGTTTTATAAATGTTCTTGATAAATACCAAATTTGCAACATAAGTTTAAAAAAAAGGAAGTTATAATATCAGAAAATATAACTGTAGAAATCATTTTAATGGTTCACACTAAGGGATTTGGACATCATCATTTTAATAGTTCACACTAAGTGATTTGGACATTATCATTTTAGTGGTTCATACTAAGTGATTTCGATATCATCATTTTAATAGTTCACACTAAGTGATTTGGACATTATCATTTTAATGGTTCACACTAAGTGATTTGGATATTATCATTTTAATAGTTCACACTAAGTGATTTGGACATTATCATTTTAATGGTTCACACTAAGTGATTTGGATATTTAACTGCAAACATTTTAAAACATCGACAATGAGTAATATTGTTTGTTAATATTGTTCAGAAAAAAAAAGAAAAGAAAATATTTTGTGTGAACTTCAGAAGAGTTTTCTTTTTTTTCTAAATATAATAACTGGGCGATATTTTAACGATTAATACATTTGCAATTGGTAAAACGATCAAAGGAAAATATTTTATGCAGTAATAAACTCAAAGTATTCACAGAAAAATCCGCACACGCAAACACGTTGTAACAAGCATTATAGCATTTTTCACACATGGCAATATGGCGCATAATCCATTCAGTATGTTTAAAACCTGCTACATAACAACATTTCAGCATAAAAAAAAAATACTTTGTGAAACCTCAGCTCTAAATCTTCATATTCTGGTAGAATAAACTTTATTTACGTTATTAGCTTCATACTTTATTTGTTTGTTTTATAGCGAAGCTACATTGGGCTATCTGCTGAATAGAACCCCAGATTTAAGAGCTTTATATTTAATTTGGTGAATATAGGATGTTTTAACTCAAGATGTACATCATTGTAATTTTGCTGTTCCGTTTCTTGTTAACTGATGAGAACATTTTCGTTATCATTCAGTGAGACTGGCAATGGCTTAAAAACACAAACAAAATATTTTTGTTTAACTCGTTGTGCCTTATTTTCTATTATATTACTATAAATTACCCGAGTCACTCGGTGTGACAGCGGTAAGTTTACGGATTTACAACGCTAAAATCCGGGGTTCGATTCCACAGCAAATATCCCAATGTGGCTTTGCTCTAGAAACGAATAATAGTTGACCGATGTCTGTTTACTGCTGCTCCACGTGGACATGTGTAAGATATATGCTACATCCAAATCGTGTTTCAGAATGTACCACAGTTGAAACATTGTTCACATTGTTGTCTGTATACTGCTGCTTCACGTGGACATGTGTAAGATATATGCTACATCAAAATCGTGTTTCAGAATGTACCACAGTTGAAACATTGTTCACACTGTTGTCTGTATACTGCTGCTTCACGTGGACATGTGTAAGATATATGCTACATCAAAATCGTGTTTCAGAATGTACCACAGTTGAAACATTGTTCACATTATTATCTGTATACTGCTGCTTTACGTGGACATGTGTAAGATATATGCTATATCAAAATCGTGTTTCAGAATGTACCACAGTTGAAACATTGTTCACATTGTTATCTGTATACTGCTGCTTTACGTGGACATGTGTTCAGTACGAGGGTTCAGTTCCCCGCGGTGAACAGAATGCAGACAGTACACTGTGTAGCTTTTCACTAACACGACAACAATCTTTCATTTAAGCAATGTTCATGCGAGTGCGCATGCTGTAGCACAGACTCAGGTATTAAGCAAGGAAATTCAGAGAGGAGTCTGTCTCTCTTCTCACACCTCGTGAAAAGCATAGAGTATTGAAGTGAATAAATATATAAAGTGAATGAATATATATATCATAAACAGAATCGTTTTGAAAAAAGTCACTAAAAATGAAAGCTCTGGGACATTCGAATGATATCTTAAACCAACAGCAGAAATAAAAAAACAAATCAGGTGTCAAAAAAGTGCAAAATTGGGGAGAAAACAAGGAAAATAATAAATATATTGGGAACCCTATAGTAGGACCAGTTAGACTTAGGACTATGGTTAGAAGACAAAGAATAAACTTCTTGAGGTTGGTAATTGCTGAAAGGGGTTATAGCTGAGTGGAAAACTGCGCGAGGTGTCATCTATTAGTAGTTTCGGAAAATGTACAGCGTCGATTGCCCTCTGTAAATCTATTGAGACTATTGGTTAGAGAAAGTAAGAAAAAGGGTTTGATCGAAGAGGCATTATAAAAGAACAAAAAGCGGAAAAAAATATATGCAAGACCACAGGAGAAAGAAACGTTGTGAGACATTAAATAAGTAAACTGCCGGTGAAGTTACGTAAATGTTTTGTTCGTTGTTAAGCGCAAAGCTGCACATTGGGCTATCTATCTCTGCTGTGCCTACCACCGGTATCGAAACTCAGTTTTTATCGTCACAAGTTCACAGACTTACCGCTGAGCCACGGGAGGAGAGGGCGTACAGGTTTAGATACAAAAATATAATTTATTGATGTTTCATCACCAAAATCACCAGATTATTTGATGATTATGTGTGAGAAAGGAGGGATATTTACTGTGGTGTGTTTTGGATAATCACAAACTTTATTTGATGATTATGTGTGAGAAAGGAGGGATATTTACTGTGGTGTGTTTTGGATAATCACAAACTTTATTTGATGATTATGTGTGAGAAAGGAGGGATATTTACTGTGGTGTGTTTTGGATAATCACAAACTTTATTTGATGATTATGTGTGAGAAAGGAGGGATATTTACTGTGGTGTGTTTCGGATAATCACAAACTTTATTTGATGATTATGTGTGAGAAAGGAGGGATATTTACTGTGGTGTGTTTTGGATAATCATAAACTTTATTTGATGATTATGTGTGAGAAAGGAGGGATATTTACTGTGGTGTGTTTTGGATAATCACAAACTTTATTTGATGATTATGTGTGAGAAAGGAGGGAATATTTACTGTGGTGTGTTTTAGATAATCACAAACTTTATTTGATGATTATGTGTGAGAAAGGAGGGATATTTACTGTGGTGTGTTTTGGATAATCACAAACTTTAAATATTCCCGTTTCAATTTAATCATAAGCTGTACAAAACAAAACACAATAAGAAATATTTCTGGTTCGAACTGCGTCACACGGTTGGATTAGTTTGACTGTTTTCCGAACAATTTATTGCACAAATCCGAAACCTTTTTTATTTGATATTTTCAGACAAACCCTGTTTCGTACCGTTGTCTTGTGTTTTATTCTTTAATCACTCGTTTTATTTTTAACTGTTCTCTACCAGATAATACTAAGAATAGTTCCTGATAAGTTTGTTTGTTTTAGAGCAAAGCCACATTGGGCTATTTGCTGTGACCACCACAGGGAATCTAATCTCGAATTTTAGAATTGTAGCTCGTAAACTTACCGTTGACCCACCGGGGGAGGGGCAGAGGTAAATCTCAGGGCTTATAAGGTTAAAAATCGGGTATCGATAACTGCGGTGGGCAGAACACGGATCGCCATTGTTTAGCTACGAATAATGTTAAAATTACCCTTCAATAAACAGTAAAACGTCTATATCTTACACAGTTAAACTCATATACGTTGTTACTTCAAATCACACTTACCTCCAATAACGGTGAATGTAGAATTTCAGTAAATTCAACTGATCTTGATTTTCTCCAAGCTTTCTTAGCGTTCGGTGAGTAACTAATAAGCCACTGCCAAGTCGTTCAAGATTAACCAGAGCCAAACAAAATATTTAATAAATGAATATAACATGTCATTAAAGAACGCAGAAGTATTTATTGTTATCATATATGAATTGCTTGACAGAAAATAATATTAAAATTTTGTTTAGGTTTTTGACCATGGGTTCATTACACATATAATAGTAGTTAAAAGAGTAGCAGAGTGTTACTTAAACACTTATTAGCATATATTTCGGAGTAATGTTTATCACATTTTGTTCTTTTGATGTAAAAGAAAACAACAACATACATATTAATAACCTTAAATATTAACAACCTGAATAACTTTCTGCAAGTATTTTTTTTTTTATTTTGCTGTTAATACAATGACGCACAACTCAAAAATCGAAAAAAATGCATTTTATATTTGCTTCGAAAACTGAAATGCACTTCCTCTATTAATTGAATAAGTTATTTATTGGGCTATTATTGTTTATGTAGATTTTATATAAATGCCCAAACATTTAAAGAAGAAGAAGAAAAAAACAATAAATATATCTCCAGTCTACCATCTATCTTAATTACTACGACCGTTAATATTTCTATTGTATTTTGCTATTTATCACTATGCTTAACGTATATGTAATTACAGTTCAATTTTTTATTTATTTTTTTCTCATAATATTAGAAAAACAAACAAATAACACAGTTTGTAATGAAATTCTCCATACGGAACTAACCTGATGAAGAAAAACGTGTCCACAGCAAAGGTAGTTTGAAGAACTAACTGGAAAGCTAAATCTTTTCCTAGGTCCAGTACTTTTGACAGAGCACCTTGAATATGCAAGTTAATAATACGAAATCAGAGTTGTCCACTAACGTCTTGGCTTATTTATAGTAAAATGGATCGCATTACATTCGAAATGTTTCTAAATGTAGTATTAATCTTGACCCGGCATGGCCAGGTGGTTAGGACGCTCGACTCGCAATCTGAGGATCGCGGGTTCGAATCCCAGTCCCACCAAACATGCTCGCCCTTTCAGCCGTGGGGGCGTTATAATATGACGGTCAATCCCAGAATTCGTTGGTAAAAGAGTAGCCCAAGAGTTGGCGGTGGGTGGTGATGACTAGCTGCCTTCCCTCTAGTCTTACACTGCTAAATTAGGTTCGGCTTGCGCAGATAGCCCTCGTGTTGCTTTGCGCGAAATTAAAAACACAAACATGTATTAATCTTAGTTTTTATTCAAGTAAATATAATGGAAAATAACGAATTTGTGTGCTTTCGATACTTTAACAGAATTGAATAAAGGTAAACTCATTATTTATATTTATTTTTTATTGTTATTTACAATAATTACCACTCTTAAAAAACACTATGAATTTTAAACGAAGTAAAATAAATATATATTACTTCTGGTGAGAAAAAGATAAACTTCATATACGTAATTAACGCCCCCTCCCCAAGTGGCACAACGATATGTCTGCGGATTGTAACTCTAAAAACCGGGTTTCGATACCCGCGGTGGGTACAGCACAGGTAGCCCATTGTATGGTTTTGTGCTTAACTACACACAAGTAAACGCCATTAATACTGTTGGAAAAGTGAACAGTCAGTAGACAGAGTTTCTAAGTAATAGCTTCTTACACAACGAAAGATTCCTAACACTTATCTGGAAATATTACATCTTCAAATATAACAAGTAATAACTGTAACCGACATTTGAGCACAGGAAGATTTTTGAGATAAAGTGAATAGTGGTAACACGTAGTTTGATAACTAACGGAATACAGTCTGTTGCGATCATCAGATAACCTGACGGATGTAGATGAAGCAAATATAATAGGTTTTATACTCTACAGTTTGGATATGAAACAGTAACTCTTGCAATGAATGAAACTAACACTAATGAAGAATTAAGTTACAATATATCATATTGCAAGTATTATTAACTAAATAACTTAGGGAATTTTCGCTACTTAAAACTTTAAATCTTGACCTTTTGGGAGCCTTCGAGACACTTTATATACCATGTACAAATTGTAGGTTGCTAAGTAACAATATGAGCACTGAATCGCCCCCCTTGTGTTAAACAATGATTACACTCAAATTGTCAGTTATTTAAAATGAAATAAAATTCAGTTATAAAAACACAAGGGTAAATTATTTCTATTTTTTGTGATATATATATATATTAAAGAGGTCTGACATGCCCTGGTTGCTAGGGCACTCGACTCGTAATCTGAGGGTCGTGGGTTTAACCCCCTTCTCCAAACATATTTGCCCTTTCAACCGTTAGTGAAATAATAGTCTAAGAGTTGGCAGTGGGTGTTGTTTACCAGCTGACTTCCTCCTGGTCTATCACTTTAAAGTTTAATGACGACTTGTACAGATATCAGTCGAGTAGCTTTGCGCAAAATTCAACAAACAAACAAATATTAAAACCGCAAAGACAGCCCGCTGATTTAATTCTTTCGTACTTCTAACCCACGTTAAGAGTTCGAAAGTTTGTTTTTAGAATATTTTCACCTGTATAAATAGTAGAAAGGAAGTATTTTTTATCAGATTGGAAATATATAAATAATAACAGACAACACAAACTAATAACAAATACACAGCAAATTCTGGCCTAATCCGATCTGTTTGAGAAATGACATAGAATGTATAATATTCTATGATGTGTGTAGGGTTTCATAATGAATATATTAAATTTATAATTTCTTTTGTAAAAAATAACTTTATTTAGAAATTTTCAATTTTAGACAGAAATTAGTATTTAGATCTTTTAATCAGTCTGTAAAGGATGGCATACTTTAAATCAGTCTGTAAAGGATGACGTACTTTAAATCAGTCTGTAAAGGATGGCATACTTTAAATCAGTCTGTAAAGGATGACATACTTTAAATTAGTCTGTAAAGAATGACGTACTTTAAATCAGTCTGTAAAGAATGACATACTTTAAATCAGTCTGTAAAGGATGGCATACTTTAAATCAGTCTGTAAAGGATGGCATACTTTAAATCAGTCTGTAAAGGATGGCATACTTTAAATCAGTCTGTAAAGGATGGC